AAATGTGTTGTCAACTGATGGACCTGTCCGTCTGTCAGCAGCGCTGCTCACTGAAAAGTCACCTGACCTCATCAAAATGTGTGTTGGATCAGAGAGGCGTTCACCGTCAGACTTGAACCTTTAAACTTCTTAACTGTTTTTTTTTTAAGCTAATGCTACATCCAGGAAACTCCTTAAAATATTGTAAATAATGAGGGAATCGGTCCAAACCGTCAGTCTCTGTTTGTGGTGACTTTCTCCTGTCACCATGTGTCGGTGACAGGTCAACTCCCTGTGTCTGTTGTAAGTGAAGATCACTGCGTGGACAGATGGTACCAGGTGCAAAACATCGTCGAAGAAAAAAGCTAAAAATGACCACTTTGTTTCACCACCGATCTCTGCTTCTTTTCTTCTACCTTACAGGCTAGCTAGTTAGCTCATAAGGTATCTATCTTGTAGGCTAGCTTGCTAGCTAGCTATCTAGTTAGGTGTCTATTAATTTATTTTGCTGTCTGTGTAGTTAGTTGGTTAAGTATCTACGTATCTATCTATCTATCTTGCAGGCTAACTAGTTAGCCCTTAAGGTATTTATTTATACTGTAGGCTAGCTTGCTATCTAGTTAGGTATCTATTTATCTGTCTATCTATCTTGTGGGCTATCCTGTTAGCTTGTTTGGTATCTATCTATCTATTTTCCAAGCTGGCTGGCTAACTAGCTAGCTTATCTATCTATCTATCGATCTCTTAGCTTAGCTAGTTGGCTAGTTAGGTACCTAGTTGTCCATCCCAGTAAAGCTAGGACATGAGGCTTTGGAGACAAACACATAAATTCATAACCAGTTTATTAAAATACAATCACCGCAGTCATCGAGTCGTTCAGTTTAAAAAATATTACAATATAGACAATCTCTTGCATTGAACTGCTATTTCTAGACTCTTCCGTTCTCCACACATAACCACAAGTCGCGACAAATAACAGCTGAGTTACAGTCAGTAGCAGTAGGAGAGCAACGCTCCTGAAACACCAGTGTGCAAATCAGACAAACGTCACAGTAAGTCAACCGTCTTCTCTACAGTGTTCAGCAAATGTAAAAAAAAAAAAAAAAATTAAACAAAGTTGTGTTTATCATGACAGATGTTCATCTCTGTGATTGTGGTCTTATTTAACCCAAATGTTTTTGTTATTGTTCGAACGATGACAATATGAAACGGTGAAGATGAGACACAGCAGCGTTTGAACCAGCAACTGTTTACGACCACAGAAAAGTGCACATTCTACAATTCAGCATTTTATGCCAATTTGTTGAGGCTACATAAAAATCAAGCTTTTAAAAAAAACTAGACAGAAATACGTCTGAGGTGCTTTTACGAGGTGACAGTCAGTCAGTCGTCTGCATATATCATCGTTAGGACTCCTACGTTTCACTTGCATGCAACTTCTGCTTCCCCATAATTCCAAGACAGACACTGGAGTGTAAATAGAGAGCAGATTTTTTTTCTTCTTGTTCTTCTTTTTAACAGTCTGTCATTTCAGTGTCTGTAAAATTCTGCATAGTCTGTAATCACTCCTGCCACAGAGTCAGAGGCAGCGAGAAGGAGTAGCTCACAGTCACAGACACAAACTGAAGAAACGTCAGATTTCTATAGCAAAACACCAAAGCAGACGTGTATTTATTCAACTCCTTCATCCACACTGACACTGAGAAACACTTCACTCAGGGTCTAAAGTCGACCACATGTTTAGAACTTCCACCAGTCTTGTCTTATCTGCTCCTAAAATCGTAGGTTTTACAAACACTGTATTTAGACCAGGGTTGTCCGATATTAACTTTTTGCCGATATCCGATATACCAATCTGTTCAAACCACATTCTGCATTAGACCAGGGTTGTCCGATATCCGATATCCTGCTAACATTTCCCTAATTATCAAAATAGATGCCCCAAAATTATTTTTAGGACACACATCATTTGGCGAAACCCAGGAATTGTGTTATAAAAAAACAATAATGGTTCTTACAGATATAACATAATTATGCTAACATCGGTCGGTCAATATTATCGGATTTTCCTAATTTAGACCCAAAATATAAGACGAGAACAGTCTCTGTTCTTAGACCTTTGATCATCAATCAAAACAAAAAAAACGACTAGACTAATATAAAAATATTAGTTTGTGTGTTTACGTTTAAAAAGCAGCGTTATTTTTCTCGTGTCAAAATAAAATGTTCAGGAAACACAGCGACCTTTGACCTGTGAGTGAACTGTTTCCGCAGTCGTACTCCTTCATTTGCTGAAATGTTTTGGCCTGGTTTGGATGGTGACCCTGCGCGGCGGCGCCTCCTCGATGCTGCGATTGGCCACCATGTCCTGCAGCTGCAGCGCTCCTCCACCGATGAAGCAGAACGCCGGGCACACGGGGGCGGAGCAGTCCACGTGACCCTCCCACAGGATCCGCAGTGAGTGCGCATCGTAGAACGTGACCCGTCTCTTGTCACAGTCCAGACAAACGCCCAGTCGGGGGGGCAGCGGAGCGGTGTGGGGGTGGGCCATGTTACTGTGGCTGCTGCTGTGGGAGTGTACGGCGCCGTGACTCTGGCTGTCCCCGTGGCTCTGACTGCAGCTGTGTCCTTGTGGGAGGAGGATCTTCCCCATTCCTATAGTAAGGAAACAGTAGGGGGGGGAGTCCTGACCGTCCTCCGCCTCACTGTCATGGCCGCTGTCTGGCTCGCAGCTGTGGGACACGAGAATGAGAGCGAGGTGAAAATGAGACCGGACAGGAAATAAGGAAGTGGGTTATTAAAAAAAAGTAATGGAGGAGAACAGATGGTAGTTCAGTTATCGCTACAAAATATAAGCCGGGGGGGTCAAACTCAGTTTGGTTCAGGGCCCACATTCAGCCTAATTAGATGTCAAGTGGGCCGGACCGTTACAATCATAACATAAGTAACTATAAATAACAATAATCCAGGTTTTTCTCCTTTGTTTTCATGCAAATAATTACAAGTTTATTATGAAATATTCATATTTAATGAAATATAATTTGACAAAACATCACCAACATGAAGTGTTTCTGCATTTTTTTTCACCTTCAAAATTCATCAATTGGACCAGATTGAACCCCTCAGTGGACCAGTTTTGGCCCGCGGGCCATATGTTTGACACTCCTGGTACAAAGTGACACACTCAGGCTACATGTAACCCACATGTAGCCTAGCAAGATTCTGGGTCAATTCTGGGTCTGTTCTTATAGACTAGGGCCACTCCGAGGTTGTGTGTAGAACACATGTGGGCCACGGGCCACCATTTGACTGGGCTGGCCCTGAGGGAAATTTCTCTCTGCACTGAAGTCATGGGTGAACAATGCTGATTGGTCGGGTGATTAAGGACTGACATGCAGGATCATGGGCTGCACCTCTCTGTGATCCTGAGGAGCCGGGGGTTTTGGTTCTTGCTCAACGTAACTCAGTTCTGCCAAACCGGGATTAGAACCCTTTGTTACAGAACCGTTCCTTCAACCACTGGCTGTTGGCATTCTCAAAATCGTTCCTTTACTTTTCAGTTTTAGAGACAACTTCCATTCTGCACAAAGTAGTGATGTTTATATTCTCTTTGTTAATTTTTATTTAAAAATATTTGAATTATTTAACAATTTTATTTCAATAATTTCATTCATTTTAGTGAAATAATAAAAAAAAAACCTGAACCCAATTTTTCTCAACGCATTTCTTTTCATCGTACTTCCGGTTGTACACAATCAGAGTAAGTAGCTGAATTTTCCTATGACGTCACG